CAGCTTGTTATGTTGACCAATTTATATCAGTACAGTACAAACCTATTATGTTTAATCATTAATGCTTTCTTATTAAGCTAACAGCACATCTAAAATATAAGAGAATAATTTCCCTAGCAACTCAATATTAGGAAGGTGTTCCTTTATATCTTGAACACTCAGTATATATTTATCTTTTTTTTTTTGGGGGGGGGGGGGGGGGGGGGAGTATTGCTAGGTATTACTGCACTGTTGGAGCTAGAAACGCAAGCATTTCCTGAGTAGATCCTTATTGTTTACAAAAGTACGCTCACTAATTTATCTCACCTTGTGAAAATACCTCTGCTCTCCCAAGCTTAGATCAGATGCAAAAAAACTTGTAGCAATGTTGAGGACCAGGGCTGCCCACATACTGGAGTAGGTTCAAAATCTAAGTCCTTGTATGGAATTGTTTGAGCAAATCTGCACGTACACGTGTATTGATAAAATGATAAATTAATGAAGGTCGTTGTCTCATCAGTTTAATTGTCCAATCGTGTCTCTGGCTAGTTGGTGTGCCTTGTTGTGGGTAGGCTAGCCTATTCCATCAATTTCACCTAAGAATACAATGTATAGCCTAGTTGTATAGACTACAGAGAAGGCATTGGGGTCATTCCATGTCAATTCAGCAAGCCATGACACCCACCATCTCAGATTGTTCTGAAATCGTTTCTTTAGTTAGAAACTGATAAGATTAGCGTTCCTGCAACATTTTCTTGACATTTGATCTCTGAGAAATTACGCTAATTGATTGCACCCAAATTGGCTGTTTTAATTTATAGGATTCATATAATATTCAATAAATATAGTACCTAACATCCGTTTTGGGCCAAACTTTTTTCTAACAATAGCCACATTTCCATCCACTGTTTTTATGCGAGTAAAGTCATACTGAAAAAAAAACAACAAAAAAACACGACCGCTGTGATAGAAACAGAACGTTTCGGTACAATTTTATAAATGCCAACAGATAATTCCTTCGTTCGACATGGTGGGATCTTTTTGTGTTTTGTAAAATTAATTATGCAAGAAATGGCAGTGGAAATGCCTTTATGCATAATTATTGATATAATAACCATCATATCGAACTAAACTTGGAGTCACGCGATGATATGTTTTGTGGTCCTCCCACTACGACTAGGGAAACCATGCAGTTTATTAGGCTACAGATGAAATAACTTATGATGAACTTCACAGGGTGGTGAAAGTGCTCGGTGATCATGATGCTCCTTTCCAATAAATATCGAGGGTCTGATTCTGGTGACATGATTATCGATGCTTGACTGCCGTTTGACAAATACAAATATTCTCGCTCTTATTCATAAATCTCATCATGTAGACTACCTGTGTCTGCGAGCTGTTGGCTAGAGTGCATATGCTAAGACCAGAGTAGGCACATTTGCTATTTAATGTAACAGTTTTTGTAAAAAAACTATTGGTAGAGTTGAAAATGCGATGGAAACACATTGAACATTAGATTTTTATTCGGTACATGAAAGCAGAAGGGAAAAAGTACATTTTGTGTGCACTATGTCATCACACATTGATTTTTATCTGCAACAAGTCCGTTTGGTGGAAACACACCACTGGTGTGAAAATGCGCATATTCCCTTTTATGCGGATTTTAGAATATTCACATGAAAATCTGTTGCCAATTGGATGGAAACCTAGCTATTAAATAAGACCTGAGGAATCCAAAGAAATGGTCAAAAGCCACCCACAGACCCCCCAAACCCCACACCAATCCCTCCCCAACAACAAGTGTTATGGAGTTGCGTCTGAGTATTGTTTCTTCATCCTATTTAATGTATTCTCTGTGACTTTGGTGATGTTTTTTCCCCTTTTCAGAGAAATTAGTCATGGAAGTTGTTAGGTTTATGTCCCATCCTACATCCTGATAATACCAGGTTCTGACCACTAGATCGTGGTGTTCCTGAATGTTAAAGGTATAGTTCACCCAAATTACAAAAATTACATATTGGTTAACTTATGCATTAGTTTAGTTTATTTTGCCACTGTTTTAAATGCTAACTTTTTATCATTGGTGGCGCAAGTCAATGGTACCCATATTAGCATTTTTGCACTTCATATCCAAATAATCAATAATTGAGTTACACAGTCCATTTTTAGATACTTTAGGATGATTTGGACATGAAACGTGAAAATGCTAATATACATTGGGGAAAAAAAGTATTTAGTCAGCCACCAATTGTGCAAGTTCTCCCACTTAAAAAGATGAGAGAGGCCTGTAATTTTCATCATAGGTACACGTCAACTATGACAGACAAATTGATATTTTTTTCTCTCCAGAAAATCACATTGTAGGATTTTTAATGAATTTATCTGCAAATTATGGTGGAAAATAAGTATTTGGTCACCTACAAACAAGCAAGATTTCTGGCTCTCACAGACCTGTAACTTCTTCTTTAAGAGTCTCCTCTGTCCTCCACTCGTTACCTGTATTAATGGCACCTGTTTGAACTTGTTATCAGTATAAAAGACACCTGTCCACAACCTCAAACAGTCACACTCCAAACTCCACTATGGCCAAGACCAAAGAGCTGTCAAAGGACACCAGAAACAAAATTGTAGACCTGCACCAGGCTGGGAAGACTGAATCTGCAATAGGTAAGCAGCTTGGTTTGAAGAAATCAACTGTGGGAGCAATTATTAGGAAATGGAAGACATACAAGACCACTGATAATCTCCCTCGATCTGGGGCTCCACGCAAGATCTCACCCCGTGGGGTCAAAATGATCACAAGAACGGTGAGCAAAAATCCCAGAACCACACGGGGGGACCTAGTGAATGACCTGCAGAGAGCTGGGACCAAAGTAACAAAGCCTACCATCAGTAACCTACTACACCGCCAGGGACTCAAATCCTGCAGTGCCAGACGTGTCCCCCTGCTTAAGCCAGTACATGTCCAGGCCCGTCTGAAGTTTGCTAGAGTGCATTTGGATGATCCAGAAGAGGATTGGGAGAATGTCAGATGAAACCAAAATATAACTTTTTGGTAAAAACTCAACTCGTCGTGTTTGGATTACAAAGAATGCTGAGTTGCATCCAAAGAACACCATACCTACTGTGAAGCATGGGGGTGGAAACATCATGCTTTGGGGCTGTTTTTCTGCAAAGGGACGACTGATCCGTGTAAAGGAAAGAATGAATGGGGCCATGTATCATGAGATTTTGAGTGAAAACCTCCTTCCATCAGCAAGGGCATTGAAGATGAAACGTGGCTGGGTCTTTCAGCATGACAATGATCCCAAACACACCGCCCGGGCAACGAAGGAGTGGCTTCGTAAGAAGCATTTCAAGGTCCTGGAGTGGCCTAGCCAGTCTCCAGATCTCAACCGCATAGAAAATCTTTGGAGGGAGTTGAAAGTCCGTGTTGCCCAGCGACAGCCCCAAAACATCACTGCTCTAGAGGAGATCTGCATGGAGGAATGGGCCAAAATACCAGCAACAGTGTGTGAAAACCTTGTGAAGACTTACAGAAAACGTTTGACCTGTGTCATTGCCAACAAAGGGTATATAACTAATTATTGAGAAACTTTTGTTATTGACCAAATACTTATTTTCCACCATAATTTGCAAATAAATTCATAAAAAATCCTACAATGTGATTTTCTGGATTTTTTTTCTTCTCATTTTGTCTGTCATAGTTGACGTGTACCTATGATGAAAATTACAGGCCTCTCTCATCTTTTTAAGTGGGGGAACATGCACAATTGGTGGCTGACGAAATACTTTTTTTCCCCCACTGTAGGTACCATTGACTTGCATTGGATTTGTGCCACCAATAATAAATAAATAAAAATTAAGCCAGGAACAGCACCAACTAGTGGTCAGAACCTGGTAATATCAGGATGTAGGATAGGGCATTAACCTAACAACTTCAATGACTAATTTCTCTGGACAGGGGGGAAAAATCATCACCAAATTCACTGTGAATATATTACATAGGATGAAGAATCAATACTCCGAGCAGCAGCCCAATACTACCTGTGAGACATAGAGAACGGATACTATATACTCGTTGTTGGGGTGGGATTGGCATGGGGGTCCGTGGGTGGCTTTTGACCATTTCTTTGGATTCCTCATGTCTAAATCATAGTTAGAAAAAAGATTGGTCCAAATCGGATGTTAGGTATAATATTTATTAAATGTATGAATCCAATAAATTAAAATGGACAATTTGGGTTTATTCAATTAGCTTAATTTCTCAGAGATCAAATCATATTTCAACAAAATAATGTTGCAGGAATGCTTATCTGTTTCTAACAACATAAACAATTTCAGAACAATCTGAGATGGTGAGTGTCAATCCTCTTTCTTGTGCTCTTTGAGGTGGAACGACCCATTGGAATCCCCCTTTCAAAAACGTATTGAGAGATGAATGCAAGAAAAGTAATGTCTCATGTAAGTAAAATATAACTACAGAAGCTAGTCTTGAGGGCACATGCAGAATTAATTGTATCCTTGAGGTAGAGTTCAACAATGTGTGTGATTTGTGTAGAGTTTTAGTTCAACTGACAAAAACTTCAACTCTAAGTTGTATGAATTCCTCAAGCCTCCAGATCTATCTGAAGGAAATGTAATTGATATTTTATTGTTTGGGGAAAGGAAGGAAACACAAGGCAATATGCTAAGGAAGATATAAATGGCCTGTTTTTTGGGCTGCCAAACATTTTAGGCCAAATAAAAACATTCTTTGTGCTGTCCAAATAACTTGGCATGGCAGGGTATAACAAATAACTGCCACAGCCCCTAGGCCTGGGACAGACACGCATCAGGACATGAGTTCTGCCAAGAACAGACATTAACAGAAACATGGCAGGACATCAGATCACTGGAGAAACAATAACCTCAGAAACAGACAGCCCAGGTGAGTGTATGGAGGTTTGACTATGGTCTTTAGTTTAGCTTTAGTAGGTTGTATAGATCACATCATGAGAAGCTAGGGTCTCTCACTTCAAATGTCCCTCTTCTTTCTCCAGACCAGGATGCAGAGTTTGCATCCAGACCCGAAGGCTCAGTACAGCAGCGTGTACGAGGCCCTGAGAAGGATCATCCAAACGGAGGGTCTCCTCAGACCCTTGAGGGGCCTCAACATCACCATGCTGGGTGCTGGCCCTGCCCACGCCCTCTACTTTGCTTGCTACGAACAGGTCAAGCGCACACTCAGCGAAGTCATTCAGAATGGAGGAAACAGCCACATAGCCAATGGTATAGTACAGTTCTGTTTACCTTGGAACTCTCTCACATTTCACACTGACCACTGGAAGGTGACCACTGGAACCACTGTAACATGGCACAGAAAGAAGTTAATTGTTTTGGTAGTCGTGTTGGCAGTTTTGATAAACTTACAGTATAAACAATTGGCTTGAGACAGTTGAGGTGAGAACTGATGTAGTATCACGAGGTATTGTATGTTGATGGGTGGTAACATGTGGAGGCCTGACTGACTGATAACTTTGTCCGAACTAGGACTGGCAGGCTGTGTGGCCACTGTGCTGCATGACGCAGTCATGAACCCTGCTGAAGGTAAGGCTTTCAAAGGGGGCATTGGGGTGTAAGATCTTGATTTTTGTGACGTTCTCAATTAGAAATTAGTACAGAATATGAACCCCCTTCTCTTTGTTCCCCTGTCTGTGTGACGGTGCTGTCCTGCATCGTGTCTTAGTGGTGAAACAGCGGCTGCAGATGTACAACTCTCCCTATCGGAACCTGTTGGACTGTGTTCGGACTATACAACGCACTGAGGGGCTTGCAGCCTTCTACCGCAGCTACAGCACACAGCTGACCATGAACATTCCCTTCCAGGCTGTCCACTTCATGACCTATGAGCTGATGCAGGAGCGGCTCAACCCCCACAGACGGTACCACCCCGGCAGCCACATACTGTCTGGGGCTGCGGCAGGGGCCGTGTCTGCAGCGATAACCACCCCGCTGGATGTGTGTAAGACCCTGCTCAACACACAGGAGAACGTAGCGCTCAGCTCCATGCACTTCAGTGGTCACCTCACAGGCATGGCAAATGCCTTCAGGACAGTGTATCGCTTTGGCGGCATGGCTGCCTTCTTCAAAGGGATCCAGGCCCGGGTCATATATCAGATGCCCTCCACTGCAATTGCCTGGTCAGTCTATGAGTTCTTTAAGTACTTCCTGACCAAGCAGCAGATGGAGAGAGAGGCTGGGACAGCAAGCCCAGTCTGAGGAAGGGCTGTGGAGGGGGTCGACCATCCACCACATCTATACTGGAGGCTCCTGGCTCTCCAATGGAATCAATGCAAAAAGTCTCATCATATACGCAAAGTCGTGTTCATAATGTATATCTGTGTGCTGTTGTGTAATAATCTCAGTGCATTTTCTCAAAGGGAAGTCACTGCAATGGAGGAAGTTTGTAAGACTTGCTGTGGGAGTGGTAGACCGTGGCACTCCTTACCCTTCACTTTTACCTACCCAGCAAGCCCTTCCATTGTGCAGTGTCATTCATTAGAGGAGTGGAGGCTATTACATGAACAGGAAATGCATAGATGGCTTGTTTTTCCAGTAATGCAGAGTAAAGGACATCTTCATATGGCAACAGGCCCTTTTCAAAAATCACCTGTTCACTACGCACACAACACTCCCAACTTCATCTATCTCTATCTGGTGACTGTATTTGTATGATTGTGTTTGGCTACATTCATACAGTATGTATACTGAACAAAAATTGAAATGCAACAATTTCAACTATTTTACTGAGTTACAGTTCATATAAGGAAATCAGTCAATTGAAAGAAATTCATTAGGCCCTAATCTATGGATTTCACATGACTGGGCAGCGGCGCAGCCATTGGGGAGCCAGGCCCAGCCAATCAGAATGAGTTTTTCCCCACAAAAGGGCTTTATTACAGACAGAAATACCCCTCGGTTTCATCAGCTGTCTGGGTGGCTGGTCTCAGACGATCCCGCAGGTGAAGAAGCCAGATGTGGAGGTCCTGGGCTGGCATGTTTACACATGGTCTGCGGTTGTGAGGCTGGTTTGACGTACTGCCAAATTCTCTAAAACTACGTTGGAGGCGGCTTATGGTAGAGAAATGAACATTCAATTCTCTGGCAACAGCTCTGGTGGACATTCCTGCAGTCAGCATGCCAATTGCACGCTCCCTAAAAACTTGAGACATCTGTGGCATCGTATTGTGTGACAACTGCACATTTTTGTGGCCTTTTATTGTGTCCAGCACAAGGTGCACCTGTTTAATGATCATGCCGTTGAATCAGCTTCTTGATATGCCACACCTGCCAGGTGGATGGATTATCTTGGCAAGGAGAAATGTTCACTAACAGGGATGTAAACAAATGTGTGCACAAAATGTTAAGAGAAATAAGCTTTTCGTGCATATGGGGGAAAAAAAGGGATGTTTTATTTCAGCTCATGAAACATGGGACCAACACTTTATATGTTGCGTTTGTATTTTTGTTCAGTATAGATCTGATATGGGAACTTTTTATTTACTTTTCAGGGCTTGCATTTTATGGATTCGGAAGAGACACATGGCTGTTTGCTTGTTTTATTTCCTTGTGTATTTATAAACACAGAACAATTGCGCTTTCAAAGTGCCTCTTTAGTAATGAAGTCAGCTACAACTTCAAAGCTTTTTGTGTTGTTCAGATTGTTATTTTTCCATTATCATAATCATTGTTTGCCATTAAAAGGGCTTGTTATCATTCTGTAGATTAAATCTCATATAGTCTTTAAATGTTACCTCTGGAAGCCAGATTTTATCAATCATAGCAAGAAACCACTGATGTCAAAACCAAATGTACTGAAATAGGACCATATTGTTATTTTTCCTTGGCATCATGCAATGTGCCTATGGTCTGAGCTGAACCTTTCAAGATGAGGGCTATTTTCTATTCAGCGTTGTTAGTTCTGAGATCTACATACAGTAGTGCATCGTGCCCTTTTGGTTCAACCCCTAAACGTTGGGTATTTTCACTTTAGATCTTCATTCAAACCTCCGCACCTCCCATACTCAAGTCTGCGGTAGTTTAGTTTCAGTAATTTATTTTAACCACACAGTGAAGTGAGTCAGCCTCCTTTTCCTGAGGTTATTGGAATCCCTCGTAATATCAAAGGTATATAGGCCGTAACGGCCCAAATATTTGCCTTGTTTGAGCACAGTAGTGGACCTATGCTCTGGAATCACGCACAATGATCGAGAGTGTTAGTGTAAATTATATAACGACCTTCTATGTTGCAGAGAAGAGTCAGTTTTTGTATATTTTAGTGAGTGGTTGTTTTCCCAGGAGGCACTTCATTATGCAGGCCCTCAGGTGGACCAAATGTCAGCACCAAACCTGTCAGAGGCTGGTGGCCATGGATCATCTCATCTCTGCATTCAGACATCTGTGATGTTGTTCATATTTAGCTTTTGATTAAAATATCATGCTTGTAATAATGTACATAGTTAATCTGTATTGAAATTATTTTTTGTGATTGGCAAATTTGACTGATTCTCTTTCGGAAAAAAAACACTCAATGTTCTAGACAGCAGAATTTGGAATGAGTACCACTGCAGCCCACACCAGTTAAACAGGCGAGCCCTTTAAGCGTTGGATTCTGTCTGACAGTGAGACCAGTACTAATGGCTTACCAGATGAGCTGTTTGTTCTCTGGCCTGTTTTAGTCACATACTGTGCTCTCCCTCTTCCCAGCATCTTGGCTCAGCGTTTTCTGCTCAGAAGCAGACATTCCTCCACATATTGCTGTAACCACAAAGCTGCAAGATTTGTTTGTTTGCTTTTAATTAAAAGCTTATGTTTTATTTTCATTCACCAGTGAAGTATAGAGTTCTATGAGATCTCCAAAGATCACAGTCCCTCAAATGTAGGCTAATTAATTCCTTGTTAAAATCCTAAAGATATGCATTGTATGCTTCCACTCGCAAACCTGTAGTTTTGAAGGTAGCGGTGAACCTACCTGTGAAATAACTATAAATGAAAGGACTGCTTATTGGCAGTCCTTTCAGTCCAAGCATCATCTCCAGCCAAAATATCTTTAGCATATTTTTCTTTGGATTTCTTCATTTAAGCTTGTAATTTAGCTGTCTTGAGGTTTATTGCCTTATGTTTGAAAAGTCACTGTGTGCCTCAGCATTTTATGAAGGGTAGCGATATGATAATTTATTCTCCAACTGTACTGTATCTGTGAAGGCTGAAGTGTTTGGTGGAAGGGGTCATTTTAGTCTAAACTGGGACTACCAGGTGAACAGTGGTAGAGAGAAGTTGGCATAGTACATGACCATTTCTTTTAATTTAAATGAAGTTACTCCTAATTTGAGCCTTTTCTGTGTGTGTTTTATAGAATTACACCTATGTTTTTGCTAAATATCACAGCATGTAAATATAAACAAATGTGCAACACTAACACATTTAGGTTGATTTAAATTCAAGCTTATTTACAACTATTGGACAGCTTTAGGTTCATTCATTTGATGTTAGTTTCTGGCATATTGTTGATTCATATTTCTGAAAAGTGGAATTTAAGACTTATGTCATGCATGTTTCCTTACAAATGCAAAACATGCCATTTCTGTTTTATGCCTTTTATTCAATTTGTATTAATCTTCTGCTTAAATGCTTGTCATTCAGTTGACGGAATTCATTCCATTAAAAAGCACTCACCAGATCTTTTAACCGCTCTACAAATAATACTGCTCTTATGCATTGTTAAACGTTTAGCAGGACTGATATTCTATTTAAGAAAATTGGAGATGGGTTGGTTGATAATTCAAGATAATTAGAATATTGGAAACATTTGATTTAACTAATATTGTTCAGGGATTCAGTATATGAAGTACCTTTTTAGCTTCTGAATCCTTTTTGATCAAATATCCACAGAATACAGGTCTTGCCTTGTTTAGACACATTGCATTACAGCCCTAGAGATAAGGAATAAATACTTTAAGAAGTCTGCTAAAGCCGTGCTTAATTATCTAGCTTTTCTAACTTTACCGTAAGATCATTTCAACAATGTACATCGTAAGTAATATTATTAAGTATGCCACATGAATAAGTGATTTATATGTTTTAATGGAAATTGGAGAATTAAAATCTTGTCCAGGGATGTTCATCATGTAACATTGTTGCTTCTTTTTTGCACACAATGAAACTGGGATGATATGACTATAGAGTGCCATCTACAGTAAAATTGTTTTAGATTTTGGAAAACAAATACCATGCAAATGTTTAAATGATTGTGGTTATGCTGCTACAGTAAGTAACACTTGAGCTCAAATAAAATGCAAGTGGTCAATGTTGTGTTTATTGGATAAACCTATTATTTTAGTTGAGAATGGTGTAAAGGACTATCACTGAGGGCTCAATCTAAAGTAGACGGACAAGTCTACCTTAAACTTTGTTGCATTAGAACCAATAGAGGGCACTATAGTTGAATGTTCATCTCATGGATAGCCTCCTTAAAGCAGACTGCACCCATGAGGGCACTGCTAGAGAGATGTAGGCCTATATCCAAGATAAACCAGAGCCTGTCCTTTCCAAATTGAGTACCACAGTATGAGTTCTAATACCCTATTAAAAACCTAGCGGTAAAACCCGGTAATGGTTCCAAATGTTTTTTCACAATTCATGTTTGCGTCAGCGATTTTAGAATTACTTCATATAAGGTCTGTGTTTCGTGTAGGCTTACCCTGTCGTGACGTTTTGATAACCGCGCAAATCTCTGTAGGACAAGGTAATTTATCAATATATTCGCCTGTAATTACCCCCCAAAACCAAACGCTAATTAGCCGCTAATGTGGCTATCATACAGAACTACACATCTTGTCGCAAGCTTTGACGTCATCCCGCAAGCACATTTCTCAATGCAAACTCATCGACAAGTAGCATGTAACCTAACAAGTAGAAATGATAGCCTTTTATAGTTTATCGTGTGTATTCTTGTTTATTATTTTTTTTATTACTCAATTTTTTTAAATTACCCTCTGCCTGGCCTTGTAGCAAACTAGCTAACCTAAAGTCTCCGTCGTTCAGAACTTACACAAGGACGGTTCTGTGCTATGTACCGGATTGTAACCACTACTCTGATAAGCACATATGCATTTGATCATTTAACGACCTCTAATCGAGAGGCGTCGCTGGAGCCGTGTGATAAGGGGTAAGCCCTGTTTGCTAGCTGCTAACAAACAAGTTTGGTTAGGTCAAAGATC